TAGGTTAAAACCTGCATGGTTCTCTTTTAGCCTAGTCTGCATTTACTGAGCCCAGAACAGTTTTTACCTGAATGTTCTGCCTCTGTGTTGTATTAGCAATATTATCTACCAGGTCTCCTAAACAGCTGTCAAACTAATTCCAGATTACAGAAAACATAGTTACATTAAATACATGAGGCTTTAAGCCACTGAGGGTCACTTTATATTTAATCTAGGAGAAAGGTCAACAACCGGTGCTTCATGGAGATCCTTATGAGTCTAAAGGTCTTCTACTATGAGTCCCCACTGCTTGGATTAATATCAAAACTTTTCCAACAATTAAATACCCAATAGATTAAGAAACCCTACAAATTTAAGACAAAAAGCACATGTGCCAAGAAGAAAATGTATGAAGAACATGAAAACTGTTTACCAAAAGAAACAAGTACTGGGCGGCAGTGGCGCACGCCTTTAATCCCGGCACTTGGGAGGCAGATCTCTGTCAGCTTGAGCCAGCCTGGACTACAGAGTGAGATCCAGTACAGGCGCCAAAAACTACACAGAGAAACCCTGTCTCAAAAAGAAAGAAAGAAAGAAAAGAAAGGGAGGGGGAGGGAGGGAGGGAGGGAGGGGGGAGAGAGAGAGAGAGAGAGAAGTAGCAGAAGTAGTTTTTCAACTTTACTAAATAGCAAAGTAATACAAATTAACCTGAAGCTCCAATTCTTCAGCAAATCAACAATAAATAATTATTTATCTATAGAAAGAATATAATACATAAACATTCAAACTCCAAGATAAAATAAATAATGTATTTTTAAACATAGTTTTAGACTATATGGTCAGAAACCCTAAGTATTCATACTCTTAACTTATAACAGCAAAATATAAAAATGGCTTAAATGGCAAACATTAGGGAAGTTATTTTTATAGTTAACTAAATTATTCAAAATTCAAATAATCTAGAGGAAAATGTATTAGTTAAAGGTGTAAAATGCAATGTTATAAAAAAAAAAAAAAAAGGAACACAGAAGTATACCCAGCATGACAAATTTTGTATTATAGAAGACAACATAGTCAAATTTTAACAAAAGTATAATTATGGGGGGCTGGAGAGATGACTCAGAGGTTAAAGCACATGTTGCTCTTGCAGAAGACCTGAGTTCAATTCCAGGCACCCACATGGTGGCTCATAGCCATCCATAACTCTAGTTCCAGGGAATCAAAAGCCTTCTGACTTCTATGGGCAACGAGCACACGCATGATCCACATACATGCATTCAGGCAAAACATCTGTACACATAAAAAAATAAAAATAAGAAAACTTAAAAGTCATTTTTAAAAAGTGAAATTATGAGTCACTTAAAATTTTACTACTATTTTTAAAAAAGATATTTGTGTGTGTGTGTGTGTGTGTGTGTGTATCTGTGAGTAGGTGTGTGCACATGTGTGCATGAAGGCCCGAGGCATATTAGATCCCCTGGAGCTAGCATTATAGGTGTTGTGAGTCATCCAATGTGGGTGACAGGAATTGAATCTCTGAAAGAGCAGTACTTGCTCTTAACTGAGCCATCTCTCAACCCCAAATTTGTTACTTTTTAAGAATGTTTAATTCTATACAAGAATTACGTGATTAAGTATAATAATCATAGAAAATTAGCTAGACAAGTTTGTCATGCTACATCTGAGCATACCAATATCTGTAATGGATATTAGGTGTGGAGATGCTGGCTTCAGTAGGGCTGAGCTGGTCTGATGGCCTCACATGAATTAAGAATTCAGGTTATTGTAGACAGCTGTCCTCAATAACCATCCTCACCTACTCCAAAAAAGGTAAACCAGCTGAGACAACTGACTCTTACCTGCCACAATGGGTACCCTTTTGGAATCTCATTCTGAAAAAGCATGTATAAGACTATTAGATCACACAGAAGTAGGTCATAATACCAAGATGAGACAAAGTTACCCTAAGGCTCACTCTATGCTAACTATTAATGAAAAGGAAGGGTTACAGGAGAAAAAAAAATGTTTTCTGGATGCCCATATATACAATGATGCAGATGTTTACTCAGGAAATTAATTCCCTGAACTGAAGTCTAATGCCCATTATTCTTAACTAAAATCAAAACACTTCCAACAAACTTTACAGAGCTAGAGTGGTTTTTACAGAAAAATTGCCCCCCCATGAAAAAATAATGTTCCATTCATAAACTGTAAAGAAAACAAAAAACATAAATGTTCCAATCATAAAACTGCAAAGATAATATATATAAAGCACATCAAAAACTCTAGAGATAAGCCAGGCATTTGATAAAAGGCCTTAAGTATTCAAGGTAACTATCACATAGCATTTTTACATTGGTTTACTATAAAATACTATAAATTTATCATAAAATTTCTAAATCCTCCAAATGAAGCACTGCCAGATTATCTTTATCATGTTCTTCCAAATAGATATTTAAAGCATCCATATTTCTAAAAATTTCAAGAAAATGGTACAATGCGATACTAAGCAGCCTATCAGTTAACTAATTTTTTAAAAACCATAAACATCTCTTCCCAAGATATCAAACTAAATCAGTAAGCCTGTATTAGTGTGTACCATTATCTAAATTCATTAAAAGAAAATATACTGTTAAATTACTTGGCGTATAGTACAATCAGGATACTTCCTTCAATTTTTAAGATGTGACTAAACAAAAGCTTGTAATAAAGCATTTTCTGAATTACTAAATTGGTTGTATCTTGACAAAAAAAAAATCACATAGTAGGAAACTTTTTACTGTTCCAATTGCTTTCCATTCTGTGTAAACAGCTGGACTCAAATTTCAGCATCCAAAGATTCTCTTAGGCACATCCAGTGAAGGTTCACCCGAATGTCCATGTCGTTGCACTCAAGTTGGTTCACAGCACTTTTCAACGACTACTCTTGCTATAAGGTTGAGTGTACCTCCCTTCTTGCCCAAAGTTATAATGTGACTCAGGAAATTAAAAAAATATGTGTCTGTCACAGTAGAAATGTACAAGGAAACAGTTTTTCAAAGATAACAATACGGTTGACCTGGAGTTCCTTATGTTTAAACACTAGTTCAATGTTTTCAGCTTTGCATAATTACCAAAAAAGACCATTTATACCTGTTCTGTGTGTGAATAGGGCAACCTTCCCCTCCAAAAATATCAACAGTGCACATCACAGTCATACAGTGGCCTCCATCTTCAACTACCATTTGATTTTCCACAATTACCTTAGAAACTGTTACTCTTCTCAAAGGCCAAAAACTTACTAAGTAATATAAAAAAAAATATAGAAACTATAGTAAATATTAATTTACTTCAATGTTTGATTGGCATACAATTCAGAAGAGATGGCAAAAACAGAAAGAATACCAATGTTTCAGAGATCTTAAAAAAGGTTCTGACAGTCAGAAATGAACAAACAGCACCTAGCCTGTATATTAAGGAAAGAAGGAGAGTATTCATTAGACATTACTCATTTCACCTCTACAATGGGATTCTAGCTTTAAAAAAGACTTTTATTTGCCCGACTTCTCCCTTTCCATAAAAAAAGGCAAAGTGTTGAGGTTATATGAAAATCTGTTTATAACTGGAATTAAGTACTGTATCAGGAGATCCAGTATAATTTAATTAATAGATTAGAACAGAATATAAGAATACACAAACAATTTTACAGGTATTTAAAGGCTTCCTTAAAAAATTATTAAATGGAAAACTGAAATATACCTAGAACATGCTTTAGAACAATCCAAAAGTCTGCTTCTTTCATGAACTTCATTTAAATCTTTTCCCATTAGTTTTAATATAAGGAACTACTAAAGGAATTCAATCAAGATATTATCACAGTAAAAAGCATTTCTCAAGACTGTTTAAACTCATATTTAATATGCTATATGAAAGAGACTTATTGTTAGAAGTTCACACCTATAAAGTGTTTTTTAAAATCATTCTTGCTATTGAGTTTACATGGTTAGGTATAAATTCAAATAACCAGTATGAATTTCTTGAAATATCTTTTGTACACCAGCAATATGTTGCCCTATGCATAAAACAGAAAACTAAAAAGAAAAAAGTCACCTATAAAACTTCAGAAAACCAAAACTTTCCCCGCTTCAATGCAGCAATAAACAATGTTGTCATGACCTCTTAAGCATGTTACTTTACAAAATATCCCTAGTCATATGATTCTCTTTAATAATGAGAACTCTTCACTTAAAAACCATTCAGATATCATCTTTCTTCCTCTATGAAATCTCAAGACTGCCTCTGTAGCACACAGTATCAGATGTGACAATTCAGGGAAAGCAGACATGTTAAAAATGTAATAAACTACAGACCCTTTTCTCTATGAGAGCTGAAACAAGCCAATTTCCAAGTAACTTTTTAAAGCTTGGGAGATTAAGGGGAAAGTTTTTTTTTTAAAACATTCTTTACAATTTGAGTGACAAGGTAGGATAAAAAATGTGCAATATGGGTAACTAGTTTATCATCCACTAAACCTGAGGGAAAACACACAAAACTATTGTTTTAGGAGGAACAGTAATTAGAAAGCTTTCATGAAAAAAGTGTATTATTCCAGACACCATAAGCTCAAGTGCAGAGACTAGATAATAAAGCAAGGTGCCTATTCCTGAGGAAAATGTACTTGTATTTAGTAATAATGCTGAACAGTGATTATTAAACCTATGCAGTGCTAAAAAGGCAATGATGGAAGTTCAGATAGTATATTACAGAGAAAGGCCTGTAAGAATTCCATTGCTTAAAAAATAATCTTGTCCCTGTCATTAACCACTTAATGTTTTTGCTGATGTGCTAAAGTGCACTGGCAACTCAGAGCAGGTTTGTTTATTTTTTAAGTTGGCCATGTCTTGTTAATAGACTGCAGTCTTCAAATTTATATAGAGCTGCAGGTCTCCTGGATTTTTTTCAAGTGTCACTCATCTAACTGAGTCTGACAGCTGAGAAAAGCCATCAAGTGCTTTACAGTCAGTTTAAAAAACATCCTCTACCTGGTATCTCTGCAGTGATTGTCTTGCTGCTCCCTGAAACCTCTTCATCATCATCTGATGAGCTCGTGCTTGAGTCACAAGTGAGGTCACTATCACTGGTACTACTGTCCTGCAGCAAGTTGTACTTCTTTCTTGCAGCAGCCTCCCTTTTCTGCCTCAGTAGTCTGATCCTTTCCTTGTGCTTTTGGCTCCGATGACCTTTAACCTTGGTGACTCGGCCATTCTGCTTATCACTGGATTGCCGGTTTTTCTTGGCAGCCATAGTAGAAGTTTCACTTTCAGAACGGGACCTCCTGGACTTGCGCCCAACTGTGGCACCAGGCACTCCTGAAGTATCTCCTTCTACTGTTGTTTCTGCTTGAGAGGGCTCATTCTCCTCTACAGAAGACAATGTATCTGAATCAGCCAAGTGACCACTAGAGGAAGGGGAAAGCATGCAATGATTAGAGGAGTCACTCTCATAGACTCGGCCAGTTGTGGGCTTGTCACTCTCGGTGGATGCTAACTGAGACTCCGAAGAGTCCCTTCTCAGTTCCATCAACAAACAGGGCATTGAAGAAAGAACTGCAGAGTCGGCTACACCATCCTTCGGAACTTGAGATTCCAGTTCTACAGAACCATCTTCCTCCTTGACCGTCTCTTGTTCAGAGGTTTTTGGTGGGGCTGCAGACTCAATGAGTTCTTCTACTTTTCCCACTGTCTCCTCCATCTTCATTTCAGAATTCCAAATTAAATCATGGAGCAGAGTCTAGGAAACGATATCAAAGATGCAACAGGAAAGCAGCCTGTATGAAAACACATAAAGTCAATGACTAGATATGGAAGATTATTTAACCTATACAGTATGCTATTTTTCTAAGTGGCAAAAGCTACTACTTAGGCAGACCTTTAAGATATTATGTACCCATACTCTGTTTGACTAGCAGTCAGAATCACAAGATGTTATAGTATCACAATCCTAGCAATCTTATCTACTAAAAACAGAACATTAATCCCCTATTGCTGTAATTACAGTAAGTAACCAAAGAGTTAAGTTTAGAACTTTAGATAGAGTTGGGAAAGTAGTGTAGCACACAGTGCTTGTTTAGGGTACCTGAAGCCCTGCACCAAAATAAGAAAGACTTAAAAGACTCAAGAAAGAAATCTTTGAAAACCTTTAATATAATTAATGTGTACTTGGCTTTAGTATAAATGAAAAAAATGATTTAAAATACTACTCTGGGGCTGGAAGTGTAGTTCAGTTGATAGAGTTTGCCTCGCATATATGAAGCTGGGGTTCAATCTTCACCACTACCTAGAATTAGACATGATGGTACATGCCTGTGATTTCAGCACACTATAGAGGCAGAAAAATTAGGAGTTCAAGGTCATCCACAATGAATTTCAGGCCACCCTGGGATACATGAGACCCTATATCAAAAAAAAAAAAAAAAAAAAATACACAGAGAAACCCAGTAAAAAAAAAAAAAAAAAAAAAAAAAAACAAAGAACAAGGAGAAGAAATCTGACCTAGACATGGTAGCACAGGCCTATAATTCCAGCTACTTGAGAGGCTGAAGTATGAGGATCTCCAAGTTAAGACCTACTTGGACAACTTTCCAGACCCTGTCTCAAAATGAAAACAAAGGGGGCAGAAAGATGGCTCAGTGGTTAAGAATACTTGCTGCTCTCGCAGCATATCTTGGTTTGGCTCCCAGAACCTACACAGCTGCTCCTTTCTGTAACTCCAGTTCCAGGGCATCTGGTATGTGTGTATGTATGTGTGTATGTATGTATGTATGTATGTATGTATGCACGTATGTATGTATGTAAGTATATATTATATATATACAGGCAAATACTTCTACACATACAAAATAAATCTTTCAAAAATATATACATATATAGGGGAAAGGGCTGGTACGTAGCTTAGTAGTAGAGTGTTTGTCTAACATGTTTAATGCCCTGGTACCATCAAACACAGCAGTAGCCTGGGAAATCACTGTAACTGAAATGATAGTTTTATACTCAATTCCCTAAAGAAAGAGGAGATGTAAAAGGGAGAACTATCTAATGTACTCTCACGGATTGTTAGGGGATTGGTGGTATGTTTTTTTATGCACGTGTGTGTGTGTGTGTGTGTGTGTGTGTGTGTGTGTGTGTGTGTGTAAGTGCATGTGGGAGCAGATGAAAATCTCCTGTGTCATTCATTCCTCAAAAGCCATCCGCCTGTTTTGTGAAACAGGATCCCTTACTGGCCTGGAGATGGACAATTCCACTACACTGGCTGGCCAGTGAGTTGTAGGGAAGCCTATCTTTGCCACCTCAGCACCTGACTTTTTAACACAGGTCCTGGGTGTCAAAGTCAGGTCTTCTGAATGAGCTATCTCCTCGCTGCTTCCTTTAAAAAAAAAAAAAAAAAAATCAACTACATGCTCTTGGTAAATGAGGAACCAAAGTAATTATATGCATCAAACCTGTCTGCATTCCCCTCAACAGAAGCTATCCCAAAGGAGGATTAAGAAACCAGGCCATCTGGGCATGATAGCATATCTGTGTAAGATGGTGCTTGCAAGGCTGAATTTGGACTGAAAGTTAGACATCAGCCTAAACTACACATTGAGAGCCTGTCTCAAAGGCCAAATTCTTATGTTCTCTCAGTCCATCTACTGACTGAGTCTCCTGTCCGATGTTTTGTTTCAAAAGCAATAGCCACTACATACAGTTCAGTTACTTTGTGAACCCAGGAAATTCTCTGACTAGGTTCAGGTTTTAAAAAGAACTCTCTATATGTTTTACACCTTATATACTAGATTGAGCCCCCATTGTTCTCACCACCACCATGAAGGACACAGCTCTGATTAATCGTGAGCAGAATACAACCTTTAATCACAAGTCTGTACCTTTTCCATCGAAAAGTTCATCGATGGTTTTCTAGAGGATGCTAAGAAGGAGCAAGGCAAGCCACTCCCTCACTTGTACATAGAATACAGAAGGCAAGGACCATGATGTCCCCATAGGCCACAAGTGCAAACGTTAATCATGATGGTATGCTAGTAAGGTATAATACAGCTTCTCCATTACTTTCATCTACCAAGTATCAGTTCATTTTATGACCAAAAAAAAAAAAGAAAAAAGAAAATACCAGAAAAAGCCTTTTATTGCTCTAAACATTAGAAGCATTTTTATGTACCTTTTTTTTTTTTTGCTTTGCATAGCCCTGTTCGCTAATAAAATGGACATTGTGATAGTTTCCTTAACAAACTCAGGAAGACTAAAATATTCCTACTACAGCATTTACTAATTTGAGACACTCTTATATAGCCTATTCCATAAACAAATATGTATTACAACTAATTTTTTAACTAAATGAAAATAAGCATGAATATTTAACAGTTCTAAAAGAAATGTAACACTGCTGAAAGCCAACAGAGGGAGTATAGGCTAAACCAATAAACAGAGTGTCACAAATAAAGTATGCTAACAACATAAAATATTTGTATGTCTATATAAAATACCCCTGGAATAAAAAACTAATGAGCCAAAATTTTCTGATAAAAATAAAAGAAGCGAGAGTTGAGGCTGGCAAGATGGCTCAATGGGTAATATAAAGGCAAAGGCACTTGCCACCTAGCCTTATGGCCTGGGTTTAGTCCCTGGGATTTACAGGGTGGAAAAGACACCTGTAAGTTGTTCTTTGGCCACTACATATACACTGAGCACATGTGTATACCCCTACCCTCAAATAAATAAATACCCTTAGAAAAAACTTAGGCGGGAGTTGGTGGGATTGGTGTTTGCAAAAGCCCAGGGTTCAATTCCAAGCACTACACGAACAAGGCATGGTTAAGTATGTGTGTAATTCTAACACTCAGGAAGTATAGGAGGAGACACAAAAATTCAAGATTATCCTTGATATATAACAAGATCAATGCCAGCCAGACTTTGCTGAGAGAGAAAGAGAGAGAATATCTCAACTGATTCTTCTGTTGAGAATCCATTCATACACTCTAGAATAAAGATTTTTTTCTTTAAATTGAAATATCTAAAAAATACTAAAATAAAAGTAATGTCAATAAAAGCAAACACATGAAAGTCTTGTTTTGAAAGAAGGAAGCACTAGATCTTTTCAAAGTATTACAATGTAGCATCAGACTGAAAATATTTTATTGCCTCTTTCTTCAATGTTGCCAAGGTGCACAGTCTTCTAAAGAAGCTAAAGCTGCATTGGATGAGGGCCTCATTCCATCTAGAGATTAACTAACTAGCACATCACCCAGCAACAGCAGTCTCCTCAGCACCATCGCCACTGTCCACCCTGGCCTATCTCCGTGTTTGTCTGCATCTACTCTGCTCTCATCCTGTAAGATGAGGTGACCTGTACAGGGAAGATCAATGCTCCCATTAAAGCAGTTGGTGTAAATTTTGAACCTTTTGGTCTGATTTATTTGCAAAGTCTCAGCCAATGTCAGCACCAGGAGTCTCATGTGCAACATAGGAGCTGCTGGACCTTCTCGTGCAGCTGATGTCACGCTCCAGGAACCCTGTCCACTGCTGCCATCAGAACAAGAGAAAGCCAGAGACAAGAATCAAGAGAGTGGGTGGCAGCTGAGGAGAGAAGGCTCAGTGGTTAAGAACACTTGATGCTCTTCCAGGCACCTGAGAACATTCAGTTCCCAGCACTCATATTGGGCAGCTCACAACGGCCTGTAGCTCCGGCTGTAGAGGACCCAATGCCATTCTCTGGCCTCCTCAGGCACATACATACACGTAGTATACATTCTCATATTCCTATTCTCTCTGTGTGTCTCTGTCTCTCTATGTCTCTATCTTTATGTCTCTGTCTGTCCTTGTGTCTCTGTGTCTGTCTCAGTCTCTCTCTCTCTCTTATACACACACACACACACAAATAAAAACAAACTTTTAAAAAGAAGGAAAGAAAGAAAGAAAAAAGAACCCAAAGACATTGATAATGACATGGGCTTCAGTTTGTTTTTGCAGCTTTTGTTTCTTTTTAAGATTTACTTGTTTTATTTTATGTGCATGTGCCTGTGCCTGTGCCTGTGCCTGAGTGTATGTTTGTGCACCACATGTATGTATACAGGTGTTCCTGGGGGCCAGAAAAAGTTTATAACTGGGGTTATTAGTTATAGTTGCCCAATTTGGGTGCTGGGAACCAGACCCACATCCTCTGCAAGAACAAGTGCTCTTAACTGTTGTGGAGTAATCTTTTTGCACACTGTGAAGATGTGTCACTCTGACTGGTTTAATAAAAAGCTGAATGGTCAATGGCTAGGCAGGATTGGGGGGGCAGAAAGAACACTGGGAAGAAGGTTGGAGATGAGAGGAGACATGGAGGAAGCAGAAAAGCAGGATGGACAGTAAGTATGTAGATGAGGTAAACAAGCCTCAGGGCAGCACATAGATTAATAGAAATGGGTTAATTTAAGTTATAAGAGCTGGCTAAAAACAAGCCTAAACTATCAGCTGAGCTTTCATAAATTGATAAGATAATAAGTCTCCATGTTGTGATTTGGGAGCTGGCTAGCAGGATAGATAAAGACTTGCTACACTTAACCAATGAGCCATCTCTCTAGTTCAGCTATGGACTTTTGACTAAACTCTTCTGTGATACGTTCAATAAAAAGCTAAAATCCAAAAAAATCGACTAACTACTTAGTTAAAATGACCAAGACTCTTATTTCTTCTGAGAATATGTTATTATGGGTAGCACAAATGAATCTGAACTACTTTCTTTGTAAGAAACTAACAATATTATTTTCAATATTATATATCAATCAATTAG